CAGGGAGGGAATCATAGCCACAGGCCAGACTGGCAGGGTCAGAGATGGTGGTCCTGGGGTGGGGGGCTGGGATGGAGACTTGAGAAGTCTCAGAGGGTCGGCTCATCATCGTTAGTGGGGCGCGTGGCGTTTGCAGAGCACTTTACTATTTTTAAAGCAGTTGCACAGATCCCGTATTCCCTGTATTGTTAAAACAGCCAGGGGGAAAGCAGGGCAGTTGGTATTCATCCTATTTTTCATTTGAGGAGACTGAACCTCAGTGTGGTTAAATGGCCTTACCTCCCAAGTAGCCCCAGGCCCAAGGCTTTGTCCTCCTTAGTAAGGGGAAAAGCCAGAAATGATGCTCAGGGTGCAGGATTCCGGAGCTGAATTCTCTCCTCAGCACCGTGCTGCACAGGATGGTTGCCATGGCTACCCTTCCCTGCCTGCAGCTGTGGAGCACCTTTTGCTGAGTGCTTTCCATGGGTAGTCGTAATTAACCATTGGAACAATGACAACGTGTGCATGCTCATCATCCCCATTTAATAGATGAGAAAAGGGAAGCTCAGGGGGCTTGAGTAACTTGCCTAAGGAGACACCTCGTACCTGCTGGAGCTGAATACCTGCCCACGCTCATAACCACTATGCCAGGTGCCAAAATGCATGCACGCCACTTCCAAAGGAGGGGCTGCAAGTGGTCAGAGTGCTTGCCGCATGAGGCAGCCTGGCAGAATTCTCCTGGCCTGGGTCTGAGAGCCTCATGGTGGCCATGACTCTTGCAGGTGTCCCAGATGACCTGGCCCTGGGCTTGGAGCTGAGCCGTCGTGAGCAGCAACAGTCTGTCACCTCGAGGTCCGGGGGCACGCAGGTCCGGCAGACTCCTGCCTCACGCCCCTCTGACAGCGACCTCTCTGAGGATGACGAGGACCTGCAGCTGGCCATGGCCTACAGCCTGTCAGAGATGGAGGCAGCTGGGAAGAAACCGGCAGGTGGGCGGGGGGCGCAGCGACGACGGCAGGGGCGCCCCAAGGCCCAGCACCAAGATCCAGGCATGGGGGGGGCCCGTGAGGGTGCCAGGGGTGACACAGCCAAACCCAGCCCATCCCCGGAGGAGAAGGCCTCTCGCTGCCTTATCCTCTGATCACCAGGCCCAACCCACCCCGATTCAGGGTGACCAGGGGTCCTGCTCACTGTCAGGAGAGCAGAGAGGGGCATGGCCTGAGTTGCAGGAGCCCCTTTCCCACTCCACACTCCCTCTGCAGGCTTCCCTCCCAGGTCTCCCGCACTCCAGTGTGGACTTGGGACTTGCTGTGCTCAGCCCTTGGCTCATAGGTCCCTGGTGAAGCCCAGGGTGGGGGTCCTCGGGGCAGTGGGAGGGCCTGAGGAGCCAGGATGCACTTATTATTGTTAGATGGGGAGTTTCTAAGGGGCATTAGTGGTTTCGGTCGGGCCTTTTGTGCCCAGGTCTTCTGCCACCTGTGTTGCTGATGATGTCAAGGAAGGAGGACTTGGCCTGGGGTTCTCTGAGCCAGAGTCGGCAGCCACACGGGGGAGTCTCCTGCTCTCCTTGTCCAGCTGCAGATGCCCCCGCCCCCTGTTTCCGTGCCGTACTGAGCTCTGACCGTCTCTGTTGCTTCCCTTCTGGTGCTGCTTCTCCTTCCTCGCACTCCTCTCTCTGCAATTCCCCGCGGGCCGCATCGCTTTCTTTCACTGCCAGCTGGCTAGCACTCCCTTCTTCCTTCCCCGAGAAGGCCTGTGTGGCGAGGAAGATGCCGTGGCCGGTAGGGCCATAAGGTCTTCCAGGGAGGCTAGCTGGGTGGGGCGGGAGCCGCTCGGCCGTCCAGATTCGGAACCGGAGCCCACTCCTCCTCCCTTCCTCTTGCTGCCTCAGCCTGCCCCAGGCCTCGGGACTAGGCAGAGGTGAGGCCGGCTAACCCTGGAGAGGTGGGATGAGGCCAGGGTGCCCCAGGAGGGAGGCCTAGGAGGGGACCGTTCCCGTCCTCCTTCACCATGCATCAGGGCTCGGGGGAGGCCACAGGGCTAGCCCAGGTCTGCATGCTCAGCTCCACCCTCCACGGCTTGCTGCTGACCCTCTCTCCTGTCACCCCGCCCCCGCTCTCTCCCCAGATGTATTCTGAGCTGGTGTCCGGGATCCAGAGTCGCTGCACAGTTCCAACAGGACAGCGCCCTCCCCTGTGCACTGGGAGGGGACCCTCCGTCTCTCTCCCTCACCCGTGCTGAGCGTAGAGCCAGGCCTGGGTGGTGGGTGGGGGCCGGGTGGGAGGTGTCGGTAGTCTTAGCCTGTAAACTCTTCCCTAGGTGCTTGGTGCTATCTCTTGGGGACCACAAGTCCCAGAATGCAATGCACCCTGCCTGATTTCTGATAGGTCACGCTTGGGGGAGGTGGTGCGTGGTTGTGGAGCTGTGCATCTTGGGACATGTAGTTCCAGCCCAGGTCAGCCTGTCACTCCCTGTGAGACGGGGAGATCTCGTCATTTCATTTGTCCCTGGCAGGGGTGGCAAGAATGTGGATGAAGGGGTAATGGTCCGAGCTTCGGTTCCCCTGACACCTCTTGCTAGCGCTGAGGTCGGAGTGTATGAATCGAAGCCCTGCATCTAGGAGAGGCTCTTTTCCTGTGGGCGGTCTGGGGTCTCAGGAACAAGCCGGGCGGACCTGCTAGGCAGGGTGTGGCCCCAGAGGGCAGCTGGGCGTGGGCTGGCAGGGAGCTTAGAAGGGAAGGCCGCCCTCTTGGGGGCGGGGGGGGGCGGGGGGGTGTTTGTGTGTGCGTGTGTGTGTGTGTGTGTGTGTGGCCGGGATTGGCGTGTGATGGGCGCTCCGGGCATGTTGCTGCTTGTATGGCTTCTTGGCCTCTGACCCTGCTGCCCATTCCTTGTCTCCAACACCACAGATGAGCTGCCTCTCCTCCTCCATGCCTGGGGAGCCCAGTGGGCCAGGGAGGGGAGTGAGGGAGCCGGGGTGTTGCCAGCCCCTGTGACATTGAGCCTCAGAGACCTATCAAAGCCAGCAGGGCTGAGCTCAGACCGAGGGGGGAAATGCTGGAAGTCAATAAAGCTGTTTCGAGAGCGCGGTGGTGTGCTGTGTTCCTGTGTTCTTCCTTGCCGGGGTGTCCCAGGAGGGACCCTATGGGACCAGTGGGTGACACACTTCCCTTTATAGCCCGAACAGCTAGAGGTCGCAGCCTTCCTGGCTGACAGCAGAAGTCCCCTCTTAACCAGGCTGCCCTCCTCAGTACATTGTGGAATCCCGAGAAATGGTCACATTCTTCTGCCCTCACCTCCTGGGGCCCCACAGCTGGCTTCCCCAGGGGCCTGTTCTCCTTACACAGGGACCCAACCCCCAGCACCTCACAGCACGGCTAGAACCGGACTAAGCTGTGAGTTGACTGGAAGCATGAGGAAAGCAGAGAGCAGGGAACACGTGGTGGAAACCTGTAGAAACGTACTCCCAAGGCGCAGAGACGGAGCCCCTCCACAGGTTTCCTTAGCTCAAGGCCTGTGGCCTGTCTCAGAGGCCTGCCCCTCCCAGTGGAGGGCCACAAATCCATCCCACCCAGGGCCCGGGGGCCTCCCCTTCTCTCTCCAGATACCTGCAGAGAAGCCCTTCCAGCCGCTCGGACAAACACCTTCCCATTGTCAAGCAGGGCAGCGTGGCTCCCCACCGACTCTCTTCCATTCCAAGATAAGCCTTTGGCTTCATCTTCAATAGTCAAGGGCCCTGTACTGTATTTTTCTCAAGGTAAGGAAGCAGCCTGCCCTGAAAGGAATTTCAAGCCTTTGTCTTGAGAGACAGAGAATCCCCCGGAAGTTTGTGAAATGGCTGTCTTGCCCACTTCTAGCCTTTGAGATGGCAAACACATGGGAGCTGAGACTCAGCGGAGCCCAGGTGAGGTGCAGGGGGCCCCCGTCTGCTGCTGGCCTCCCCACCACCTGTGCGGGGCAGATGGGATGTGCCCTGTTTTTCATGTGAGGGGACTGCGCCTTGGCAAAGCTAAGTGGTCCTAACTCCCAAGTAGCTCCAGGCCCAAGGCTCTTTGTGCCTCATTTCTACGTCCACCACCTTTGTCCAAGGACGATGCCTCATGACACGCAGGCAAGGGCTCCTCCGGGACCATTCAGGGTGGAGCATTCTGGGAGCTGGGGAATGGGGCAGAGAAAGGGAGAAAGTGGCCCTTGTCCTCAGGTGAACGCCTGTTGTGACATCTCACAGGCCCAGCCTCTGAGTCGAGTTGCCAGGGGTGTTTAGCAAGTTTTGCTCAAGGTGTGGCAGGCTCTTTGCCTGTACCACCTCGTTCAATCCTAACCTCAATGCTGCACGATGCACACTCTTCCTGAGGCCGATTCCTGAGGCCGCAGGGCACAAAGCAGCTGCCCGAGCACCGAGAGGGGAGGCAGTAAGGAGGTTATGCACGCCCGGGTTCGAATCCCCCACCACTTACAAATCATGCTACCTTGGGTGAGTTCTGTGCCACAGCCTGTCTGTCTGTAAAATGGGCTAATAATTGGTAGCATCGTGGTGAAGATTAAACAAGTTAATGTATGTAAAGCACCTTGGAGACCGTCAGACATGTAGGAAGCAGAGCATAAAAAACTGTGCTGGGGGCCTGCCCGGTGGCGCAGCGGTTAAGTTCGTACCTTCTGCTTACGTGGCCCAGGGTTCACCGGTTCGAATCCCGGGTGCGGGCATGGCACCGCTTGGCAAGCCATGCTATGGTAGCTGTCCCACATATAAAGTGGAGGAAGATGGGCACGGAGGTTAGCTCAGGGCCAGTCTTCCTCAGCAAAAAGAGGAGGATTGGCAGCAGATGTTAGCTCAGGGCTAATCTTCCTGGAAAAAAAAACCCTGCCAGATTGTTATCAGCTACCATTGAAACTCGGGAGCCTGACCCCTAGCCCAGCTCTCCCATCCCACTCTGCGTCTCCTGAGAAACGCAGCGGGGCCCGGCTCCAGACCGAGGCTGGGGCTGGAGTCTGGAAGCAGAGCAGACGGGAACACGTAGGAGTCTGCGTTGCAGCTGCACACACGACACACTTACTTTATTCACATTGATACAAAAGTAGATTTTTCTAGAAATGTTCTCTTGCGCCAGAGGGAGAGAGTTGAGTGACACGAGGTGGGAGGCAGGGGGAGGAGGCCTGCCAGGGGGCAGGAACGGCAGGGACCAGAGTGTGGGTCACGGAGGCAGGACAGTGGGCAGCGGGGGCCCAGAAAGCAGCAAGAGCTGGGTGTGGCGGCCCCTCCACCCTGTTCTGTCCACACTGGAGGATGGGGGCGTCCACACGGACATATTGGGAGCATCCAGAACGGCGGGAGATGGGGGCCAGGGAACTCAGGCGGGAGAAGGCTCTGGGTGGAATTGCTGCCAGTAACTTTCCTCTCCTCCTGGCCAGCTGCCAGCTCCCCCGTGGGATGTCTGGCCCCGGCATGCGAGAGGCTGGGCAGGTCTGCCCCTTCCCACTTCCCCTTCCTTACACACTCCTCTCGGAAGGGCTGGACATGCCCAAGAGGGGCCACGGTGGCGGGTGGGGGAGTGAGGAGTGGGTACACAGACAGATGCTCACACAGGCAAAGAGGGAGCAGAGGCTGGGACGGCCACAGAGGGGCCCCAGGCCTCTCACTGGGGCAGGGCCTTGAGGATGGCGTTCACCTCCTCCGCGACAGCTGTCAGGGCAAATTCAAACTGGTCCTGGGGAAGGCAGTGGGAGGAGGGTCATGGGGAGGCTTGGCCTCTGCTCCTGCCCCTGGGGGGCTTTTGGAAGGGGAAGCGGGGGAGGTCGCTTGGGAGAGGAGGGAGTCCTCCTGGGGGAGGTACAGAGACAGGTGGGAGAGCTGGGCTGCTGCTGGCTTCCCTGGTGAAGGATGGCAGCTGGGGTCGGGGCAGGGAGGGACGGTCACCTTAGAGCGGACGAGGCCAGGCCGCTGGTCACGGACATGCTCCAGGGTGGCAGCGATGTCAATCTCCTTCACTCCTGGAGGTGCAGGGGGCACGGGGCTGCTCAGGAGTGTCCAGAGGAGGACAGGACCCAGAAAGCCTGGGGCATCCTGGGGTGGGAGGCTTGGAGGACCGGGCAAACCCTGAGGGTGTGGCAACCAGCCCCTCCACGAGCTCCTGTGACCCTGGGTGCTGGGGAGACTGCTCAGGGCTGGGCTGGGGCACCCTGGGGAAGGGCCTCACCTTTTGCCATGCGGTTCAGTACCATGTCAATGAGGATGTAGGTGCCAGTTCTTCCTGCCCCGTCACTGAAACAGGAGATGGTGACAGGCTCAGCGTGGGACCCAGCAGAAAGGGGGGGGGGGGGACAGAGGAGACATGGAGGCATGGGGCCGGGAGCCACTGCTGGAGCCATTAGGGTGGCTTGGGCAGGGCGTGAATGAGCCCAAGGCGAGGGAACAGTCACAGCACCGGGCCTTGAGCGGGAGCCTGTGACCCATGGGGCGCACTTGGGCGGTGGGCCCACCAGAGAGGGGAGCCCTGGCTTAGCCCTGAGGTGGAGGCAGTAGGAGGTCGCGGGAAGGGCCCCTTCCAGGCTCTGGCCAGGCTTTTGCTCAGCAAACTTTTTGTGTAAATGGCCAGAGGATAAATAGTTTCAACTTTGTGGGCCACATATAGTCTCTGTGGCACGTTCTTTTTTTTTCCTTCAACCATTTAAAAATGTAAATACCATTCCTAGCTCATGGGCCATTAAAAAAAAACAGATGGTATGCTGAATTTGGCCCATGGGCTGTAGTTTGCCGGTGTCCAGGGGACAGGCAGGCAGCGTGCATGGGAGACGTGCACAGGGAGCAGGACCAGAGAGAGGGGTGGAATCAGAATGCCCCACTTCAGGGCCCTCTGGCCTGGGCTGTCCAGTCCCCTTCCACCCCCACCCTCTCCCCAGCCCCTCCCCACGCACCTGCAGTGCACAATGATGGGGCAAGAACGGCCCCGGTAACACTTGTTCACCTTCCTGCAACAAAAAACAGGGGTAAGGGCCAGGGCCACCAGCAGAGGGAAAGGGGAACCGAAACCCACACCTGTGGGCCTCACGATCTTCCTTTTCTCCCTTCATGCCCAGGGCAGAGGAGGGAAGAGGGCTGGAGACAGGAGTCAGGGCGGGAAGCAAAGAACCAGAGATGGTCTGGGTGGCCCTGGACTTGCCTGGTGGCTTACGAGCACATGCTCAAGCTATGCACCTGGAACAACTGACTTAACGGCTCTGAGCCTCAGTTTTCTTACCTGTAAAATGGGGATGATAATAATAATAACCTTCTTCTTAGTGTTCTTATCATGGTTACATGAGATAATCTATGTAAAGAATTAAGTGCAAGGTCTGGCACACAGTAGGTGATCAATAAATGGTAGTACTATTAATGACCATATAAAATAATATTAACAGCACCCTCCGCCAGAAGTCTAGGGAGGATAGGCTTTCTGGTGACATCAGGAGTGTCAATCTTGCCACATCCCTGCTCTGCTCCTCTGCCCTCCTCTACAACGTCCCAGGCTACAACACCCCCACTCAGGCTCCTCGTGGTCCTCACCCACAGTGAGGTCAGGTAGCCCTAGGCACAAAGTTCCTCTGGCCAGGGGAGGACAACTCCTCATCTCTGAACATTATACTGCTGCCTGTCTCCCCGGACCAGCTTCACCTCAGCAAAGGTGCTCTGTAGTTGGGTCATATTCAGACTTGGGGTCCACTTGGACCTCAGACTCCTGTCTGCTGCCCTGACCACAGCTCAGCAAGGAGCAGGGGGTTTCTCCCTCCCTCAGTGGCCCAGTCTAACCTGCCCTTGTCCCTTCTGACTTTCCTGCTTTGAGAGTTACCTGCAGAATTCTGATACCCGCCAATGGACCAGGACTAGGGAAGACTTTCTTAGGGGTCATCAGATTGTTTCAGGAGAAACTGGGAACTTACTGCCCTCCAGCCTGGTCCCCCAGACTTGCAGGGGCCAGGTGACTTGGAGTGGTTATACAGGAGTCCACACGGGTTTCTAGCACACTGGCTCGTATGTTAGAGGGCTGGGGTTGGAAAGAAGTCACAACAGTGACTCTCAATCATTTAATCGTAATGACAATAAATAGTATTTAGGATTCACTGAACCCTTGCAATGTGCCAGGCACTTAAACTAGATTTGACAGACTTTATCCTAGTGACTCTCGTAACAAAGCCCTAAGGTGTGGGTCCTTGTCCTCATTTCACAGGTAAGGTCACAGAGGGAGATCAAGCAACTTGCTCAGGGTCACTTTCTGAGACTTAAAAAAATTACTTAGCCTTTGGTGGACCTTTGCCAAACTGTATTTATTAAGCAGCAATTAATTTGTCCTGGGTGTCAAAGGTCAACCGAGTTTCCAAAATTCCAGCCTGAAGCAAAGAAACGTAACCTTCTAGCTTACCTGTGCATCTTAAAACAGGCCCGTGCCCTAGGGCTACAGGGAGTCTTTAAATGTGGAAAACAGGAAGTGGTTCTGACACCCCTGGCATCGCTTCTCAGAAGCCTGTGCCTCGGGGCCCAGGGATCCCAGCTAGAAACCATTGTCCTGAGGCTCAGAAACTGTCCCCAGGTCCTCACCGCAGTTCTGCTCCTCTGCTCTCTGCTCAGCGCCTAGAGCCCTCAGGCCCGCCTGACAAGGGGCAGAGAGGCAGCAGGAGCCGGCAGTGTGGGTGAGCCTCTGCCAATTGTGGCAGGCTTCTCAGCCACGTGTGTGGGGAGGGGAAAGGCAGGGGATACTGGAGGCCTGGCCTGCTGGTGCCTCCCATGTCACAACAGGGTAAGTCCCTCAGTTAGCTCCCTGTCCTAGCCCCCACTGAGTCCCCAAGAAGCCAGAGCCTCCTGTACTTCGTGTGATAGGATTTGTCTCCTCCCTGAGTCCCCCCAGCCCCCAGCTCTCCCAGCAGCCTTCGGGGTGGTCTCTGGGCCCACATGTCCCGATTGTCCTGTCCATGAAGCGGCCACACCTGCCAATGATCACTTTTGTGACTATGCAACTGGAGCGAGAATACTAGCTGCAGATCACAAAAATGACACTGGCAGCTGTGAGAGAGAGAAAGAAAGAGAGAGGAGGGAGGGAGAAGGAAGGACAGAGCGGGAGACAGACAGAGGGAGGGAGAGACAGAGACAGAGAGAGGGTGGGACAGAGACAAAGAGAGGCAGAGATACATAGGCAGTGATGGCAGAAGGTGGAGAAAAAGAGGAGAGAGAGAGAGAGAGAAGAATAGACGGAACAAAGGAGAGGTGCAGAGAGGGAGAAATGGAGATAAAGAGAGACAGACTGAGTGAGAGAGAGAGAGAAGAGATGAGCAGGAGAGGAAGGAGGGGGAGAGAGAAGAAGCAGGGAAGGGAGGGAAAGAGAAGGAGAGAAATAAAAATAGAGGCAAAGAGACAGAGAGGGATAAAGAAGGGAGATGGGCAGGAGGGAGGGAGAGAGAGTGAGGGGACACCCAACACAGGGAACGGTGCTGGAGCCCTGGAAGAGCAGGACAGGAGGTAGAGAGGAGGCAGGAGGCAGGGGCCAAGCAGACGGAGAGGAGAGAGGGAGGGAGCTAGATAGAAACAAGGTGAGCCCTTTTGCGGGGAAGGGGGTAATGGAGAAAGAAACACACGCGGACAGGCAGGGAGAAAAAGAGGGCACGAGACAGCAGAAACGGAGCTGGACCAGAGGGCTGGAGGGATGGGCACAGCAAGACAGAGCATCACTCCTGGTTTGGGGGGTCTGGAAGGGGGCAGCTGGAGGTCAGGGGTGGAGGCTCCAGGTCAGGCTAGAGGGTCGGCCTCACAGGACCTGGGGGCCCAGGCGGAGCCAGCGGGCCGGGTGATGGCGGGCCCAGCTCGCGGCCCCCGACTCCTGCGCGGCTCGCTCCGGCGCGCGGGGCGCTCACCTGCGGAAGTCGAGCAGCGGCCGCGTGGAGGCCGGAGTGCCCTCTGCCGGCCAGCTGAGGAAGTGGAACTGCGTGAGCGTGCGCGTCTCCTGGGTCTGCACGTTCTTCAGGTAGAAGCTCCGCACCAGGAAGTCCTCGCACCAGATGTGCTCCGACACCAGGTTCACCTGCGGAGGGTGGCCCGGCCCCAGCACGTCGGGGCCTCTCCACGCCCGCGGGCGCGCGCCTCCCCCCTCCCAATCCTGCCAGCCTCACAGGCCGGTTCAAATTCTAAATCCTCCAGGAAGCTCACCCCACCGCCTGCCCCACCTGTCCCCAAGAATCCCAGCTGTGTGTGTCACCTATCTACTGCTCAGGACAACTGGTGGCTTTTCCATCTAGACGCAACTGTTTTGAGCTTTTTGAGGTGGGAGATTCTCCTTCCTCTTCCTCACAGTCTAGCAAAGTGTCTGTGCCACGCACATCAACTTTGATGAAATTCTCTAATATCTTTATTTGATTTTTTTTTGACCACGAGCAAAACCAATTTAAAAAAAAATTTTAAAGAGTATAGAGTGTTCATCTGATGATGAAAAAATTACTCTGCCGTGCTCATCTGGCAACAAGGAGCTGCCGTTGTGCTCTTAATGTCTCTTGTTTTGGGGGGTGATGGGTCACCTCCCATCTGTCGGGAATCTGTTCCTCCTTCCTCTACTTTGCCTCTGCCCAGTTCGCCCTGCCTATCCTCTCTCCTAATGAAGAAGTTTGTTTCTATTTTACATAAGCAACATATGTGACTGATGGTATTTCTTTCTTTGCTTTGGCCTCCAGGAAGCTCAGAGCTAAGTTAGGCTCAACTAAAGTAGGTCTTGATCTTGGTCTTTGGGTACACTTCTCTTCCCTTTCTCACATACTCTTTATTATCTCAGTTTTGGTGGTTTTATAGTTTTATCTGTACCTTTCATCATGTTCTCTACAAATGCTCTTTGGCCCCAGACTGGATGCACATACGTATATGTATCAATGTATGTGAACATACATATGTATGTGTATGTATGCTTATATAGATACATGTTCCTACATGTTTGAATGGTCCACCATCCACTTTGCCCACTCCCATTGTCCCCTAGCCATGGGGTCCTGCTGACCTCATATACGTGGTACAGGGAGGAGCCCTCATCTGGCCAGTAGCGGTCACACTGCTTGACGCCATCCTCCACCAGTGGGGTCAGCATGACGATAACGGTGCAGCCACTCTCCCACACCATCTAGAGACAGAGACTCTGGTAAGCTCCATTCTCACCTCCATGGGACCTGGCTGGTGCTGGCTGCCCACGAGTGCCCCCAGTGAGCCCACCTGCCAGAAGTCTGCGATGGTATGGGACAGCGGGCCCTGCGTGGCTATGTAGGCTGGCATCCGAGGGTCATGCTCAATCTGGGGGCAGGGAAGACACGTCATGAACCAGAGGGGAAATGCTGCTGTGGAGAGGCTTGCTCACAGGGAGTGGGCCAGGGTCTGGGGGAGCCTGAGAACCCCCATTTCTGCCCTAGGATATCAGGCCCCACCATTCCAAGGCCTCGGGTGATGTGGGGGGTGACCATAAGGAAATGGAGTTTATGGGGGCAGAATCAAAATGAGGCAGAGATGGATGGGAGTCAGAGCCACTCACGATGGGGCTGGCGTTGATGTAATCGCTCCGAGAAGGGCTGCTCTCCACCTTCAGCTTGATGCGAGCGTGGTCATCTGCACAGACCCGCATCCCACCTCAAATGCCCCTCCAGTCATTCAGGTCCTGGCACATCTGCCTCTCAGCCTGAGCCAGGAGCCCAGCCCTCCCCCCAAGCCCTCCAGAGCTCCCAGCAGAGAGAGGGCTTTGCCAAGCTGGCCAGCAGGACTCACTCACAGGGCAGGAAGTTGGGGTGGCGGTTCTTTTTGATGTTGCCCTCCCCCTGGGCGGTGGCACAGGTGTTGGGCTCGGCCTGGTAGGCACACAGGGCCTGCCACTCCTTGGCCAGGCGGTCCCGGTTCCGCAGGTGGTCCTCCATGTACGCCTGCAGGGACACCCAGCCTGGCTCCGGCCCCCCCCCCCCACCAGCCCTGCCTCTCCCACCCTCCTGTCCCCTCACCCACTCCGTGCCCAGGCCCTGCCCTGACCAGAATCATGTGTCCCGTGGAGATGTCCATGTTGGCCTGGGCGGGCTCCTCGCACCAGGACGGCGTGCTGCTGTGGGAGCTGGGGCTGGCCTGGGCCGCATCGCTGAACTGGGAGGACACGCTGCTCACCCGAGAAGGCTCGGGCGGACCCTCTGCCCGGGTGAACAGGGACTTTGTGGCCATGTGCTGGCGGCACAGGTCCTGCAGAAGAAGGATGGAGCAGGGGCCAAGGTGACCTGATGCTTTTTCAACAGAGTCCTGCATTCAATTCTGGATCCCTAAGCTCATCCTTGCTTGATTTTGAATGAAGCCCATCTCCTCTGGGGTAGGTCTTCCACGCTGGACCTCATCCTTCTTGGGGCTGTTCTGTTTGAGTAGTACCTGTGACAACCTTAGCTATTACAGAGTGGAACCCCAGGACCCCAGAATCGGAAGAACTTTAGGAACCACCTGCTTCGAATTCCCCCCCATTCAACACCCCTCCTGGGGCTTCTCCAGCCTGGCCTGGACATTCCCAGGGGTGGGCTCACTCCCCACCCAACTCCCCACACTCACCCCACGCAAGACCCAGCCTCCCAAGCCCCTCGACTCCCCTCTCCCCAACGAGCCTCTGGGGCTGCACACCTGGTACTCAAAGGTAGTGTCTCCGTGGGCCCCCTCAGGTCCCAGGGCTGCCAGGCGCTCTTTGTCCCGCTGCCGTGCCTGCTGCCGCACACACAGAGCCACTGCCAGAGCCACTAGCAGCCCGGCCACACCCGCCAGGGCCACCAGAGTGAGCAGCACGGAGCGCATGGGAGAGGTGCTGTGGGCCGCTCGGGGAGGGGCTGCAGCCGCCTCCTCCCTCTGTGGGAACAAGGCTAGAATCAAGGGGGGCAGTGATGGGAGGAGCCTTCAGAGCTGCTCCTCACCCCTGTCCCACGCCACACTCTCTGCTAGGATGCCTCCTGGGGCAAAGCTGGAAGGGCAGGGGCATGGTGGGACAGGCCGAAGGACTCAGACAGACCCAAGACCGTCCTCTCCTTCTCAGTCCCCATTGAACCAACTCAACCATGCTGCACAGCCAGAGACTTAGTGGGTGACCCCACTAGGATTCTTTGCATTTAAAAGTGGATGTAGGGAAGTGGAGAGAGAACACAAGGAATCAGATAGTAGAATGTGAGGCATCAGTGTTGAGTGCAGAATAGAAACATATTCTGAGTTTAATGTCCTTTCTGTGCAAGGTTTCCCCTTGGAATTTAGAGACTTGGCTCCGGAGGGCTATGGGCACTTCAGCTAGCTGATGCCAAGCGTCCTGCCTCCCTAGAGAAGACTGGTCCTGCAGGGACGAGAGCCACTGGGGCCATCTGCTGGTCAGAAAGGAAACTGCAAGGGGAGGGCTGCTTTGGCGAAGCTGGCGGGGAGCCTGGTAAGTGGTTTCATCTCCAGTTCTGTTGAGTTTGCCTCCATCTCTTGTGGGCAACGTCAGCCCTCTGGGGCTTTGACTGATTCTCCAGTTAGCTCATACCTGTCCCACTCCTGTCTGCAAGATCTGGAGTCCTGTCTGTGCTTCTAGTTCAGACTTCATCAGCCCTGCAGGGAGGACGTAGTTCAGGCTCTCTCCAGCCCCATTTGGTCTCCACCCCATGTCCATATGCCAGGTGGCAGGCAGGGCCCAGGTGGATTGGGAATATTTCAAGAGGAGCCTGGTTATATCTTACTGGGCCTTGGGCCAGGGCCAGGCGGTATTTACCAGCTTGCTGGGCCACATCAGCCAAAGACAGGTTCTGATCATTGTGCCGGATGCGGAAGGTGAGGGCTGGTCCCACCACACTGCCGAATAGGAGTTATGTTACTGCCTCACCCACTGTAGACCCCAGACTCTAAAAGAGAGGCCAGCTCTGGCCCTCTCTCCGTTAGAGGATGGGGCTGGAGCCGATCAGAGATGCCCTACAGCAGCGTTTGGGGCCAGGGAGATACCAGATGGGGCCAGCAGCAGGGCTAGGTGTGTGGCTGTACCTTCAATGCAGCTGAGAGCAGCTGACTGCACCTTGGCCCCTTACCAAGAGCCTGTCTTCCCTTCCTCTCCTGAGCCCTTCCAGCTTCCTCCCCCCTTAAGCTACCTTCTGGTTCCCTGCTGCTCCAGACAGATACAAGCCCCACCTGATGTTGATGAAGCTGCCTGAGGACACGTGCACATGCTCAGCCAGGATCTCCAGCAGCTTCACTCCTGCAGCCAGACTCAGGGGCCTGGAGATAGGGAGCAGGCAAAGCAAGGAAAGTGGGGACCCTCTTGGCCACTTTCTGGAAACAGGACACCTCCAGGGGTGCAGAGCAGCCCACTCCTCTCCCCCCTACCTCCGTCTACTCCAAATCTGGATTCCTGCTCTCTATGCTTCCTGCCAGGCAGGCCAGCTCGACCCCCCAGGGGAATGGATGGCTTCCCCAGGCTGGAGCCCTTACTTCTGGTCCGTGACAATGTAGCCATACTCCTCCGCTGACGGCCGAGCTGAGGGCTGCCCTGCCACCGTGGGCTGGCTGTGGCCCAGTGGACTTTTCTTCTCCAGCAGGACAGGTGTGGCAGGGGGGACAGCAGCTTTGAGGGGCTCAGAGGATCCAGAGGTAGGCACCTGCTGGGCTTTATCGGAGGCGGGGCTGGCAGTGGGGTATCCAGGCAGGGAGGGCGTGGGGGGCGGAGGCTCCGCCGTGTCTCCACCCTGCACCTGCTCCTCCATTGTCTGTTTAGAAGAGAGGATGGAGGTGTGGTCTCTGGGCAGTGGAGGGACTGGGGGACTGGGGGTCCACACCCTGGACTCTGAGCTCCCTACAGAGAGCTCAGGACTTATTTCTTTCTACCCCCAGGACCCAGGGCAGCGCTGGGCATAGAGAGGGCACCGAAAAAGGTGAGCCAAGTGGGTGAATGAATGAATAAGGATTGGATGAGTGGAACATGGTGGGTAACAATCCACAAGACAGGGTTGGAGTGGGGAGAACCTCTGGAGTGAGGGAAGCTGGGGTGAGGGTGGAAGATGAATGGTAGGCAGCGACTTTAGACTTGTTTAGCCACAAAATCTTGGAAGTTCAACATGTGGAGCAGATAGAGCTCCTCAGGCTACAGGGGGCACAGTCTGAAATGATCATAGTGATCAAAGCAGAGTCGAGAATTCTGGCTTCTAGAACCAGCTCTGCCATCAACTTGTGGCAAGACTTAGGCAATGACTCGCTGTCTCTGTGCCTTGGTTTCTCCAAATTGAGGGGTTGGAGGATACTGATTCTGGGTCCTGATCCTGAGGTCTAGATTTCGGCAAGGGGCTTTGCTGCCACAGGGCACTATGGGTCAGGGAGGTGCAGGAACTCACTTTCTTGATGTCAGCTCCAACGTTTAGAAGCCCTCCTGCAGAGACAGGTAAACAAGACTCTGGGCAAAGGGCCAAGGCCAAGGTCCACTCAGCACAAGTGGGAGGAAGGGCCAGAGGCCCTGAACCTGTTCCATCTGCTGTGGCCTCTTTCCCCTTAGTTAGTGACCAAGACCCTGTCATTGGTCTTATCCTCAGCATGGCCTCATGCCTCGGTGCTTCTGCCTTATAATCCATTGTTTTACTAACTTTTCCCTTTGTCATTGGCCAAACCTCTCAAAGCTATTCTTTGATCAGTCCTCCCTCTACGGATCAATTATTGGCTTCTCCTTGGCATTGGTCACCCTTCCTTAGATCCTCATTATCATCCACCCACCCTTCTGGGTGCCTCCTGATCTCTGTTGGCTTCTTTTCCCATTACTTCCACCCTCCAGTCCTTTCTTGGTCTAACTCCTCAGCTCATCATTGCATCCTTTTCCTCTCCTCCCTTTGTTGGCAATGACCTCATGTCTCAAAAGAACTCCCTTCCCCCGACCCTGACCCTTCCTCTCTAGGCTGCTCCTTGTGGTCTTGAGAGGTGGGGCAAGAAGCCTTCGTGAAGCTGGTAGGTGCTAGTCTCTCTGTCTGGACACTCACCCAGATTTCGTCCTGAGCCCTTGGGCAGGAGCTGCAGCAGAGTCGAGAGGGTGGAGAGCTGCTCAGGGGTCAGCTGACGCAGCTCCACCCCATAGCCTGCCAGCACAGCTGCCAGCCTCTGCAGAGTCACATCTGCTGGGAGCCAGACACAGAGCTTAGGGCTGGTGGCGATGCAGATGGGTGAGTTGGGGGTTAGGGATACTAGCACATTCAAGAGCTTCTTCTCAAACACTAGGACATTGATGCCCTCCCTTTCCAGCCCTTGTCCACACTTTAGGAGAAAGGCCTTCCTGGGGCCAAGACCAAACTTCAGGCCCACCGTGGACATCTTGACTCTCCATCTGAAGAAGAGTTACATCAGCTCCACCCGCCCCACCCCCACCACCCGCCCCACCACACACACACACACACACACACACACACACACACGCTGCCTACTCAGTGCCTGGCATAGATCAGGTTGTCAACAGACATTAGTTAAATGTATGAATGACTTTAAGGACAAATTAACAAATGCATGGATAGCTAGGAAGGAGCCCCAGCAGCAGCCCCGACGGGCAGGAGTGGATGCTGAAGACCCTGTTACCTGGCTGCTCTGCTGGGGAAGGAGGCCTCTCCCCGTGACCCTCCAGTCCATCCTCCTCATAGCCCTCTGAGGAGTCCTCTGCCCGGCTGCTGCCCCCTTGCTCTGGCAGCCTTGGTGCCCTGGCCCTGCTGGGCACTGGCGACTCCTGGGCCAGGTAGAGCAGCCCTGACTCCTGGAAAAGCTGAGCAGGTGAAGGCCCTGGAGGGTCCCCATAGGAGTGGCCAGGGTGAGCCCCAAACATGCCCTTGGAGGCAGTTCTGCTGAAAAGGGCAGGGGGTTCGGCCTTGGGCAGGGGGCCGACACTGACCATCCCTGGGGAACTCTCGGAACCCCGGGAGCCATCACGGGAGCCAAACTGTGGGAAACCAGAGATCCGGGTAAGAGCAGACATCAGGACTGGGGGAATGGGGTGGAGGCGGGGCAAGTGTCCAGGGCTCACCTGATGGAACAGGTAGGGCTGCAGCAGGGCAGGTTCATAACTCAGGGCAGGGTGAGGGGGCTGCGGGGGCAGCAGCAGATGCTCCAAGAGAGGGGGCAACAGCTCAGCCTGCAGAGGGGACAGGGGGGAGCCCGCCCCAGCTCCACCCCCGCCCACTGGAGGTCGAGGAAGCCGGTGCTGGGCAACAGGGGCGGAGCCAGTGGGGATGCCTTGTAAAAGCAGCTCCCCCGTGGGACCCGGTCTCCTGGGCACCAAGCCAGATCTGGAGAGGAAAGCAAAACGCGTGTGTGTGTGTGTGTGTGTGTGTGTGTGTGTGTGTTGGTTGTGTGGGACAACAGCATAAGGAGTCTACGAGGCAGAGATGGTGAGGCATGCTCAGCAGTTTAGAGTAAGTCTGACTTCTCAAGAAGTGAGTTAGCCTCAGGGGAGGAGAAAACAGCACAGGGAAGGGCCATAGGGCCAAGCCTAGGGCAGAGGCCATCGTCTTACTGGTAAGCATGCCTGGGTCCCTGCAACAGCGGCAGAGGCTAGGGAAGTGTGAGACCGGGGATGGAGGGGGAAAGAATGGGGGCAGAGGAAGGCACCTGGGAAACTCTCTAGATGAACAGTGGCTGCAGCTTGCCCTGTTGCCCCTGTGTGAATGTCCCCACACCTGGCTCTCCAAGTATACATTTAAACCCTCAATACTGTGCCCTCTTTCTCTGCCCCCAACACTTCATTCTGCCTTCTTCATCCTGGTGTCATTGTCTGAGCCCCATGGCCCTCATTTACTTTCCCCTGCTTTACAGGAAACTGAACAATGCCTTCAGAGGCCCTAACCACGAAAAGATGATGGCATCTTCTGCCACAGGCAATTCCACATAGTAACGAAACTGAACTTCAAACAACTTCAGTCCAGCACAACTCTAATTTGTCCCATGATGACTACTTTGATGCTTCTTTTAAAATATCAAATGTCCAAGTTTTTCAAAACATTTTTTTAATACCTCTGTTTTGCTGGATCCCCAGGGATGAACTCAGCTCCTGCTGGGCGTGTGAGCACATCAGAGGACCAGTCCTGAACCTCTTTTACCAGCACTTCAGCCGGCTGACCTTGGTGCCCACTTCCCTCCCCCTTCCCTCTGTCCATCAGGAAGACCACAGACCCACCAGCCTTGCCATGCTAGAGTTGTTGAGAGAGGATGCCTACCTGTCCCTTGGATGGGGCTCCGTGGGGCGAAGCCTGGGGATGCGTTCCATCTCCTGGGAGATCACATACTGGGTGAGGTCATCGTGCCAGGACAATCCTGCCAAGGGACAGGATAGGGTGAGCTTGGCTTGGGACAGTCTGAGGGCCCAGGGGGGGATCAAGACAGGGAGCAGTGGCCATCAAAACTGCACTCCAGACCCTGCAGTGTGTGGAGTTTAGCAGAGCGGAGGGGCAGTGGAGGGGGTCTGGAGACCTGGTGGGTGATCTGAGCTGTCCTCTTCTGACCCTCAGGTACAGGTTTTGGAGTCAGACTGCCTCCGGTCAGACTGGATTTGAATCCTCTGCCATTTGGCAGAGTCACACACTAATTGTGTGACTTTGGGCAAATTGCTGAACCTATCTGAGCCTCAATTCTCTCATCTGTAAAATAGGAGTTTATACCTCCTAAGATGGTTGTGATAATTAAAATAACACAATATAAAATGGTTAGAACAGGACCTGTCCCATAGTGAACTTTAAATAGCCACTATTATTATTATCATCATAATTACTATTCCTCTTCTTGTTTATCCTGAGCCTTAGTTTTCTTTAATTGTGAAGTGGGAATAATACATATTTCATGGGGTTGTTGTGAAGATCAAGTGCAATCAGAGAAATGAAAGTGCTTAGGAAACTCTAAAGCACTAAACACGCTTTAAATATTCTCCATCGTCATCATCCTCACCATCATCAGCAGCATCATCTCTCCTGAAGCGGATCTCCTCTTTGACCCTTTCCCTTCATGTAACTGCTCTCAGGAAAGGTCAGTCTATTCTAAAGGAATAATCTCTCGCTCTCCACTCCTATTCCTTCTTCCCTGCTTCTGGATTAATAGTCTACACTGCTCTCAACTCATATTCTGGGATCCACTGGCATCCATACCTACCTTCTTGCCTACTGGCATTAGATGATCTATCTGTGTTCCTATTTAAGGCCAATTCCTCCACTTGGGCATTAGATTTCATCCTCTATTACCTACTCAAGAACATCTTCCCCACAATTCTCTCCTACTTGCTACATCATCGTTTTTTTCCTGTTCTCTACTGAATTATTCCCAAACATGATGCAATTTCCTCCATCTTAAAAAAATACTACTTGACCCCTCATTCCTCTCCAGCTATCATCTCATTTCTTTGTTTTCTTTGTAGCAAGACTCCTTGAAAGTGTTATCTCTACTGGCTGTATACAATTCCTTTCCTCCCATTCCCTCTTAATCCACTCTTCAGGATTTTATTCCCAACTATTCTACCAAAATTGCTTTCACTGAGATCACCAGTGACTTCTGCATATCTAAATCCAGTGGTCAATTCTCAGATCTCATCCTTCTTAACCTACCATCATCATTTGACCCCATCGATCACTCCTTCTTCCATGACACACTTCCACTTGGCTTCTAGGACACCAAACACTCTTGTTTTTCCTCTTACCTCACTGGCTCCCCCTTCTCAGTCTCCTTTATTGGTTTCTCGTCTTGTCCTTGTCCTCTTAATATTAGAATTCGCTAGGGCTCTTATTCATATACACTCAATCCTTTGGTTATTTCATCCACCTCATGAGTTTAATTACCTTCTATATGCCACAGAATTCCAAATTTATATCTCCACTTCAGACCTCTCTTTCAAGATCCATTCTCATATACCAAACTTCCCACTCTACTTGAATGGATATCTTAAGCTCAATATATTAAAAACTGAAACCCCCTCCCCCAAGGTGATCCTTCTGTACAGCTGATGATATCTCCATCAATCCAGTTGTTCAGGCAATAAAACCTGGGTGTCATCCTTGACTCCTCTCTTTCTTTCACAGCCATATCCAATATTTCACAACATCGTGTTCACTACCTCAAAAATACATGTATAATTCTGTCATTCCTCACTACCTTCCTGCAAGAACCCTGGTCTACACCACATTCATCTCTTACCTGAGTTATTATGGTAGCTTTTAATGGTCTCCTGCTTCTACCCTTGACTCCCTGCAGTCTATTCCCAATACAGCAGCAAGCACGACCCTTTTAAAGTAGAAGTGAGATCAATTCTCATGATGGTTCCCTCTTTTACTCAGAGTAAAGCCAAAGTCCATACATTCTCCTCCAAGGCCCTACAGTGATCTGCATCCCTTCCCCCTTCACCTACCTGACTGCATCTTCTACTCTTCCTCTCCATCTCTCCTCTACAGCCACACAGTAGTGGTGTACTCCATGGTGTGCCTCAGACTTGTGCTCCTGCTTTAGGGCTTTTGTTCTAGCTTTTTGGTCAGTTTGAAGCACTGCCCTAATACAACCTTCTGGAAAACATTCCCACCTTGACATCTTTGTTCAAATTTCATAGTCTCAATAAGGCCTATCTTGACCTCTTGATTTACTGCTGCAGCTTCCTACCTCACCATTTCTGATCACTTTATCCTGCTGTAATATCTGTTTTTTCCATGACACTTATCACCTTCTAACATACTATATATTTTCTAATTTATATAGTGTATTGTATCCCCTCATCCCCCAAATGTAAGCCCCAGTAGGCAGAGATCTTTGTGTATTTTATTCTCTGATACATCCTAAGCACCTAAAACTAAGCTTGTCACATAGTAAGTACTTATTGAATGAGTGAATTAGATGAGTTGGGTGTTCTCCTGGCTGAGGACTCCGGGATTCATGGCTCTGGAGCACTTGGACAGTTCCAGGGAGTGGTTCTAAGGTTGCTGGCCTCTTCCAATGGCTTCTTCTAGAAGCCTCCTCTAGATTCCTACAGAGGCTTTAAGTGTGAACAGCCCATCTGTAGGGTTCCACTTCTACGCCTGTCTTGCCTCCCTCTCCAGCAAAGTCTGGGAAGGTGAGGCTTCAGAGTGGGTGTGATAAGAATGTTTCATGAACAGAAAGCCTTGAGTCAGATGGCGTCTCACTTCCCCACCCTTACCTAACCAAGGTCCAGTGTCTCTCCTCCAATGCACCTAGACCTCACCTTGGGACATGAGCTGTCGAAGCACACCTTGTAAGCGTTGAAGAACTGGGGAGGTGACTTGCAAAAGGGGCCGGGCCTGCCCCACTCCCACCTGGCACTGTCCAAACAAGCCATCTAAGAATACAAAAGTGGCATCAGCAAGCGGCTTGGACAAGAGGCCTTCCAAAGTCCAGGTTGCTCTCCATTTCCTCTCTTGGCTGCAGGGAGCTCTGCTCCTCCAGGCCAGTCCCCAATCTCCCCAAGGCCAGTACCCCTTCTCCCTTCCAGGCCTCCCCGCACTCCTTTCCCACTGTGGCCCCGTCTTGTAAGTCCTATGCTTGGGCCTCACTCACCCTGAATGCAGACTTCCAGGTGAGAGCAGAGTCTGCGATCAAACAAACAGCCTGTAGAGGGACAGGTGAGCAGAGGATCAGACACCATAGAATGGTCAGGTGGATGGACAGGCTGGGAAAGGGGGAAGCAGACGGGGTCTTTCACCATTCTTTCATTCTAAGGAAGGCTTTGAGCTGGGAGGAGAGTAGAGAAGAGGCCTAGAATTCTTAAGAGAAGGAAGCATAGGAACTGGCTTTGGATTTTAAGGATCTGTGATTCTGGGTCCTTTCTCTAAAAGCCTCAGTTTGCTTAAGAGTGGAGGAACCTTCCAGGTGCATCGAGGTAGTGGTGGTGGAGGATCATATACTTCTACTGTCACAGAATTACTATAGGGAAGTTTTGGGCCAAATTCTGAGGGAAAAGGGACTTCCTTCCAAAATCTCCAAAAGCATCCTAATTATGATGGCCCGGGCTCAGAAGAGATGGAAACCCTAGCACACCTCCCCTCCGTATGGGAAAGGGGTAAGGCTGGGGTGTCTCTAAGGCAATGCTCCCCGCGCTGTCCCTGCTGTCCGCGGCCCAAGAGCCGCTGGCTCTGTCCGCGGTGCTGAAGCTCTGAGCCTGGCGCTGCCAAGGGCTCGCCTGGAAGCAGCTATAGGGGAGGGAGGGGGGACAGGATGAGGAGTCTCCACAAGATCTGACCCCTCCGCCGTTCCGGACTTCATCTACCACCTTACCAACCCACAGCGCCACAGGAAGTATCCTGCATTGGCCTCCAAGCTCGGTGGGGGGGAAGGGCGCCAGACTGAGAGGCTGCGCCCCTTCCCCCACGCGCCCCCCGCCCCCACTCTCCCCCGGCCCATGAGTCAGCGCTGACTGTCTCTGTCCGCTCAGATGTGAGTCAGCACTGGGCCTGACTGTGGGGAGGGGGACGGAAGAGGACCCTTCCCTCTTCGTCCTATTCTGCCCCCTCCCCCAACTGTCCCCCTCTGATTGGAGATCATAGCGGCAATCGGCCTCTGTAGGCTTAAAGAGAAACCCTGGCCCCTCCCTCGGCCTGATCCTCTACTGGGAGCTGGGACCCTGACGCTCGCGGCCCGGACTCTTACTACCGGCAGATCAGGGTTCCCTCTCCCTCTTTCCCCGGCACTCCGCCCCTCCCCCACGCCTCCATCCTTGAGCGCCAGTCACCACTTCTTTGGCGCCTCGGCGCGACTTGCTTATCCCGCGGACTTGCAGCCCGTCTCTGAGTCCCTCTGGCCATATGCACCTCCATTCCTCCTCCTAAACCCGCAATCTTCCCCTGAGCCGGTTTCTCTTATGTCCCACCTCCGTATTCCCAGCCCCACCTCCAGGCCTACGCCCCTTTCCTCTCAGACGCCCTCTCATCTTCCTCATCTCACAGTGCCTGCCCCACATATATTCTACCTGAGCTTCCTACGTTCTTGACACTGCCCCCCACCTGCCACTGAGTTTTGCTCCCGGCACCGTCCCCCCACCCCCCATTTCCTCCTGACCGTGGGCACTAATGGCGCTGCAGCCTCCCGGGCGGCTGCTCAGCAGCAGGAGGCAGAGGAGCACCCGGAGACCCCCGGATCCCCCGGGACCCCCAGGCCGCCGCGGGCGCCGCATCCTTCCGGGCTCCGCGCGCGGGCTCCGCTGCCAGAGCTGCAGCGACGCTGTCCGGAGCCTGCCAGAGGGGCCAAGGCGGAGCCTGCCACTCCCCACCCACCTACGAGGCGGGGTCTATACGCCCCTCTCGCGGCAACTCGGCCAACCCAAGGCGGGTGGTGACGACACCTCCACCCCCGGTTCTTACGCTTATTTGCGTCATACGTGTCGTAAGAGCACCGTCTTAGCGGGGCACCTACCCACCCCATCCCTCCTCCGCCAAGTAGTAAGCGCCTCACTAGAATTCCCACTTGTCCCCGTCCCTTTTGACGTATGCTTCTCTCCAAGGACTCCCACTTCTATCATCCAGTCCCAGGGTTGGCGAAAAGGGTTCGATTGAGTGGGGGCCGGGAAAGGTGCATGAGTCAAGTAGTATAAACCCTAAGATGAGGAACATAAAAGCGAGTAGACTAGGTACTCTTATGCGTCTCGATTAATGGCACGGGTGTCATCCTCAAGAGCAGGAAAGGTTATGCATGTGTACCTAGATTACAGTTCTAGCAATGCCACCTCCTAGGGGTGTAACTTTGGGCAAGTTATTTAACATCTCTGCGTCCGAGTGATCTGTATCACTACCCTGTCTAAACTACCGTGCCCTTTCATCGCGAACATTGCAGCAAACATCTAACCAGTTTTTTGCTTTCACTCTTTCACCCAATATCCTAGGGAGTGAGTTTTCTAAAGTTCAAATTTGATCCCTTTACTCTCTTACTTTTCAGTTAAAGTTTTCCAAAATACAAAAAAAAAAAAAAAAAAAAAAGGTAGAGCATAGTAAATACTCATACGCTCATCATCTAGACTTAGTTATTGATATTTTTTCATATTTGCTTCTTTTTAATATTTAAAAGTATATGATAGACAACATATTTCCCTTAGAGATATTTCAATACCCATCTCCAAGAAACAGGGACATCTCCCCACATAACCAAAATGCCATTGACATCTAACAACATTTACAAGAATTCCCTAATGTCACTTAATGCTCAGTTCATATTCAAATTTCTCAAATTGTTTCCAAAATTGCCTTTTTTTCCAGCTGTTTTGTTCAAAATTGAAGTCATTCAAAGATCACCATTGCATTTGGTTATGTTTCTTAATTCTCTTTAAATTAGCCTAGACACCGCTCCTCCCTGCCCCCCTCCCATTTTTGACATTGTCTTCTTGAAGAGACCAGGTCAGTTTTTCTTTACAACCCCTCACCTTCTGGATTCACCTCATTGTTTCCTTGTTATAGATTTTCTTGTGTTTTCCCTGTATGTATCCTGTGTATCCCCTGTATTTCCTGTAAACTAGAAGATATATTTAAAGTCTTGATTGGATCAGGTTAAAATTTTTTTAAAGCAAAAATATTTTCTACGTGATGCTGTATGCTTCCCACTGCATCATTTCAGAAAGTGCATAATGTCTGGCTGCCCTACTGTTAGTGATGCTAAAACTGATCACTGGTTTAAGGTAAAGACAGCCAGATCACTGTGGGCAAAGTTACTTTTGCTTCTTGTGCCAGTCTGTAATCCGTTGGATGAGATTTTGGCCCTCTGAGAATATCTAATTCCCATCGACTTTTCACCTAATGGTTTTGCCATTCATTGATGATCCTTTGACTAAATTGTTTCATCAGAGGTTGCAAAATGGTGATTTTTATAATTCTATCATTCCTTTAACATGTATTGGTTGATATTACTTTGTAAAAGAAGATCTTTCTTGGGGCCACCCAGTGGTGGAGTGGTTAAGTTCCCGCGCTCCGCTTTGGATCCTGGGCCTGGACACGGCACTACTCATCAAGCCGTGCTGAGGCAGCCTCCCACACAACTAGAAGCACCTACAACTAGAATATACAGCTATGTACTGCGGGGCTTTGGGGAGAAGAGGAAGGGGGAAAAAAAAGAAGATTGGCAACAGATGTTAGCTCAGGTGCCAATCTTAAAAAAAAAAAAAAAAAAAAAAGAGCTTTCCCTCATCAGCTGGGCTTGGTTATCCTGAAATACAGTTCCAGCTGGAAAGGCAGCATACATTCTTAGTTTTTTTCTTTAAGTAGCAATTTTCAGAGTAATGAATTGGTATAATAGTTACCTCCAACAGTGGCAAATAAGTTTTTAAAAAATATATTTTATAACTTTTTTGGTTTGAGCGTTAATCTGAAAGTACAGATTTTTACATATTCAATGTATATCAGTTGATCACAGTAATTATTCTTTTTGATATTCACATGGTCCCAGGGTAAGTCAGTGAAAGCTCCTTTAGACTGGCTCTGGCGTCTTTTTGAAACATCCCATTAATCACTAAATGCTCCCTTGCTTTCTGTCACTCCAAGGTGTTACAGGTTCATCTTTTTTTTTAAAAGATTTTGTTTTTCCTTTTTTCTCCCCAAAGTCCCCCCGGTACATAGTTGTGCATTTTTAGTTGTGGGTCCTTCTAGTTGTGCTATGTGGGACTCCACCTCAGCATGGCTTGATGAGCGGTGCCATGTCCGCGCCCAGGATCTGAACCTGCGAAACCCTGGGCCGCCGAAGCAGAGTGCACAAACTTAACTACTCGGCCACGGGGCCGGCCCCCAGGTTCATCTTTTTATCCTCTGCCTTAGACATGGAAGCAGCCACTCCTCCAAAGAGCCTTGGGAGCTTTTAGTAAGGACTGATTTTAGAGACCACTATCTGGGTTTTAGGGGTGATGATAGCTACTGAGGTGATCTTGCTTCTAGGCCCTCCCGGTGCACAGAGCTAGGATATTAAGATACACACACACACTGATATTTCCAATTAAAATTTAACTGTGGTTTTTTTCTGAACTCTTTTGATTTTATACTTGCATCTCTTTATTCTTACACCGAAAAATTTGGTTTTTAATGACATTAACATAATCGCTTAGGTGTTTAATCCTACAATCTACATACAATAATTTACAAATAATAAGACAGATATTATTCTACTAATAAAACAATGAATACATTTAAGACTTTTGGTAGTTTATTTTGTCCTTAGAATATAACCTCTAGGGGTATACCATCAAAATACTGTGTTCTAAAATCATTTGAAATAGTTCTTTTGTTTGTGTAGTCATTTTTACCAATTTGGTTTGTTTGCTTCAGTTTGATTTCAATTTTACAGTTTGCTTTTTTGAACATTTTACATTGTTCAAAAAAGAAAACCATTTAATGTGATAAACTCAGGGAAGTCTTCTCTGCACCTTCCACAATTCCCCCTGTCATTTTTATCACTTCATCCCATTTATTTCCTTTCTAAAAACTTTGTAAATTGTGAAACATAACAAACAGAAAAATGCATAAAACAAAAATTAACACTTCTACAAATTATCACAAAGTGAACACCCACGCAACCCAGGTCAAGAAATAGAACATTTCCAGCACCTTACAAGCCTTCTTGTGTCTTCTGGTTATTCCCTC